GTGTGCAAGGTGATGGCTCCCCTCTGGCTGACCGCCAGAAGGCTTCTGGGCGATACTTCCGCGGTCGGCTTCTCGGACCAGGATGGGTGGAGGAGAGGACGAGGAGGAGGAGGAGGAGAAGGAGGAGGACGAGGAGCATGAGGATAACGAGGTGCGAGGAGGAGGAGAAGCAGGACACGGAGGAGGAGGAGGTGGAGGAGGAGGTGGATGAGGAGGAGGTGGAGGAGGAGGTGAAGGAGGAGGAGGAGGAGGAGGAGCAGGAGGAGGAGTAAGATATTGGGAAGCAGGATGATGATGATGATGATGATGATGATGATGATGATGATGATGATGATGATGATGATGATGATGATGATGATGATGATGATGATGATGATGATGATGATGATGATGATGATGATGATGATGAGGACGTGAACGAGGAGGAAGAGGAGGAGTAGGAGGAGGAGGAGGAGGAGGAGAAGGAGGATGAGTAGGAGGAGGAGGAGGAGGAGGAGGAGGAGGAGGAGGAGGTGGACGAGGAGAATGAGGGAGAGAGCAAGGTCGTAAGGTGGTGGCCCTCGTGGAAAAGGATCTAGGGTTGACGGATTTTGGAACGGGCCTTTCCCAGGAACGGGCGATGCCGCTTCCGCTTAGAAAACATATCTGAAGGGTTGCTCCTTGCGCCGCGGGCCTCCAAGCTGCGCCACCTTGCGGTCCTGCCGGAACGGTGCCAGGGCCAGCCTGGGGGCTCTTGGGGGGCACCCATGGGGCTCCGGAGCAGCCCGCGGGCCAGCTTGGGAAATATCTTTGGACCATCGTCGGGCCCCGGAAGCCACCGTCGGGCCTCGGGGGCCAATGCTGACGTTTGGGCCACCTTGGGGCCTCCTTGGGCCCATCCTGGGCGGCCTAGGCGGGATCTTGGGGCTTTGGGGGGAGGCGTGGGGCCACCGTAGGGCCGTCGTGGACAATCTCGGGGGGCTCTGGGGGGCATCTTGAAGCGACCTCGGGGCATCTTTGGAGCAGCACATGGAGCAGGCAGCAGACATCGAGCACACCATGATTCTTCGACGTGCTTGTCTTCTACGGCGCATCTTAGAGGCATCTTGTTGCCACTTTCGGCCGCCTTGGCCCTCTTAATGCCCTTTTCGAGGCCACTTGGGGCACTCCTCGGGGCCTCCTCTTGAGACCCTGGCAGTGCGGTGGCGTCGCCACGGGAGTCCTGGGGCAATCTTGCAGCAGACAGGAGGTTGCGCCCCCCCCCCCCCCCCCCCGCCTGCCTCCAGGTGGCGCTGCGTGCGTGATGTCACGCGCGCCTCAGGGGCAACGTTGGGGGGGGGCAGGCCCAGGGGGGGAGGCATCGACCCCAATCGCCCACTCATCGCCGATAGGGGCCTCTGATAGCCCACCCCGCCCAGGCTGAGTCCCCCGCCTCCCGTCCCCGGGTGGCGCTGCTTGGCGCCACATGCCCCCTGGTAAACAGAAAACTGGAGACAGGACTGGAGAGACAAGAGATGCAGTCGAGGCTGATTAATGGGCCGATCCGAATCCTGCCAAATCAAGGGTACCCTTGTGCCCTGTGTTTGGGGACCCATGCCTTCGATCTTCCTATGGCAATGTGGCCCTCGGATGCGTCTTGTGTCCCCTCGCGCGTCCTCTCCAATCAACCCCGACTTTCCAACACAGGGGCAACACAAGAAAATCAAGACAGCAGTTCAGCAGCCTCTTTCACAGTCGTGCACCCCACAAGGGGGGCCAGCGAATGTACCGGGGGAGGCGTTTCGACATTGTGTGATTACTTGATTGATCGGTCGGTCGGTCATTTTGGTAGGTTGGTCTGCTTGCTGGCTGGCTGGCTGGCTGACTTGCTGCGCTGGGTGCTATTTGCGTGCCTCCCTCTCCGCGTAGTACAAGGTGCTTGGTGCTCTGATGCCCCGACTGCCCTTATGCATTATTAGGAACACAAAATGCACCAATACCCAAATGCCCGTACACCCTGATGCCCTAGCGGACCAATGTCGTACGGTAGGTTCGCGTCGTGTTGACGCGGCGGCGAACCCGCCGCAGGCGTTCCAGGTAGAACGCCGTCAGAGGAAAGTAAACGGCCGCCAGAGGCCCAGAATCGGCCAAGATGGAACGACCTGATGATCGGAAAGCCGCCGGTCGTTCAAGGTTGCACGATCCATGCGGTCTCAAACACCAACGCCAGGGTCGTCTCGACACGAACGTGCCGCAGTACCATGATGCAGGCATTCTTTGGTACACGGGTGCCGCAGTGCAGCATTCGTGTTCCAAACAGTGACGTATGCAACTCATAGTTCGCACATGCCCTCATATTTGGTGCGCGAATAGAAGACCGCTTTGATCAGAGCGGGTATCATAATCGAACGACGCCCTGACCACCGAGCTCCTAACACGCCGCTATGCTGTAGTCTTATATAACAATGCAGCCACACGCCAGTGTTGCCAACATACCGAAACCGTAATCTCAAACCCTGATGAGCCATGGCACTACGATCATGTACATCGTGCCGCGCTGATGCCATGATACGCCATTATGTTGACATCAGCACTCTATCATGCATCTTCCCTGTTTGCACACGTACGCTGGTTCCCCACTGCCATCAGATCGTGATGCACGAAGTACGCGATTGCCCCCAATCCCCTCAATCATCAATGCCACAACTCAGCGAACGTTCGTGGTGCACGAATTGTTTTTGCGATGCGACCATGTCCAAAGGCCAGAACACTTCAATCTAACAGCGCACGGGTGTCGTAGTATCAGGGGCTTGGGGCAGTATCATTGCCCTCGTGCCCCACTGCGTTCATGCATACACGCATTAGCAGCCTCGTCACAATGTGTTAGCAGCGCAATCTCATACGGATGCCTCATCTTCTCCAAATCCTCGACCGCTAACGCTCTAGTGCTTTGCTCGCGGGGAGCCTCACACTCCAATTCTGAAACGCCTTACTGCACGAATACTCTGAACTAGTACATACCCTCTTACCCGAAATCCCTAGTGCCGTGACTGCTGTAATGCCCTGCGGTTCGAATGCTTCACAATCTAGCATCTAGCACATTGCGCCTTACAGCCAGAAAACCGTAATGCCGAAATGGAATCACGCTACAGTGTTGCATGTAACATTCTCGTTGCAGTGCCGAATTGCTTTGATACGCGGCACCTGAATGAACTATCACATTGGTAAGCTGTTAGTCGGACTCACTTCCTATCTTGATGTGATGGCAAGAAGTCGCTGCCTCACGCGCCGTGGGTGGCGTGCCTTGAGCGTCGTGTGTGCCGTTCGGTGATGCTGGTGACGTGTCGGCGACGTGAACGCCGTGCAGTGAGCGCCGTACCGTTGGCGCCGTAGCGTGTTTTGACGCGTGTGATATGCTTCGTGGGGCGCCAGGGCGTTTTACCGTGGGCGCCCTGGACGGGATGGGGAAAGGTTGTTGCACGTGTCGTGTCTTGATCAGATTTGGCAGGCTTTCTTAGCCGTTGCCAGTTACAGTGTGCTTTATAATAAGTGCATGCCCCGGCGGGGGCCATGATCTCGGACCGTATCGGGGTCTCGCCCTACTGTTCTTGCTGCTCTTGCTGATGCTTCTCAGCTGCACCCCTCCTCCCGCACCCTCCTGTTCTTCTTCCAGCGTTTCCCCCCTTTCGTTGACATCGTTCCACCCCCATGTCCCGTCGACGTCGGAGGCTTGCTTCCGATCCCTGCAGCTGCGGCTGATCCTTCACCTGCTCGTCATCGTGCTCCCCCTCCTGCTCGTCCGCTTGTCCCTGCTAGGCGAGGCACGGCAAGGCACGGCGAAACACGGCATGGCAAGCTTGCCCAGGGAAAAGGATTATGGATTATCGACGGTGAGGACGAGGACGAGGACGACGACGAGGACGAGGAGGAGGAGGAGGAGGAGGCCGAGGTGTCCCGAGGACCCATCTTCATCATGGTTGCTCTTTGGATAAGTTGCTAGATCATTTGCATGCCCCTCTGCACCTCCGCCTAGTACTGCTGCTCTTCGCTGTGTAGTCGATGGGAGGGAAAGCCCCCAGGTCATGTAAGTTGGAAGACTCTTGTTACGTTCGTTGGCTGAACTGACAGCTGTATTGGAGGTCGGCATTGAGGCCATGGCAATCCTTCCACGAGGGGAGCAGAAGGAGGTGGAGGATGGAGGAGGCGAAGGAGGAGAAGGAGGAAGAGTAGGGTCCGTCCTCTTCCTCCAGAGGAGTGCTCGTTCCTCCACGAGTACTACAAGGGCCCGCACGTACCCCCGAGGCTCAGGGACTTCGGCTACAAGGTTCCGACGGATTGCCTCGGCTATGTGGGCATCTATAAGAGCGCGTCCAGTGAGACGCTGTGTAACTTGCGCAACAACTTGGGGAGGAGGCCGAGGTGGGCCCAAGGCATGGCCAATAATATACTACAGAGAATGATCCAGATACACATGTTCCCAGTACTGAATGAGTCTGCGGACGCCGTGGTGGATCCGGATTCGAAGTACTACGAGGACAATCCGCAGGACGTTCGAATCTTCGTCCTTCTAGTCCTCCTCCATCCCCCCTCATACGTTTCCTTCCCCGTCACCTTTCCTTGCCCGTTTCGGGAGGATGGCTCGACCTTCGCTTGAGCTTCAGGCATCACTGGGAGGCAGGGGTCGTCAAGAGCAGTTGAAGCAGGGGGGGCAACAGACGAGCTAGGTGCGCTCGTGCCGCATCTGACATCCTGCCCCTCCCCCCTCCCACCAATCTTTTTTCCGTTACGTTCAGCTATTTTCTATCCGCCGACGTTTGTGTCCTGGAATACTTGGGTGCCCGAATGGCAGTTTCAGGATTTGACCAACCAGCTGCGGCGTAATCTGAATGAACGGGGACTTTTCTACCCAGGAGTAGAAGGAGGCGGCGCATGAATTGGACGCGGAGAATGGTGGGGAGGATCAGGAAGGAGGAGGAAGAGGAGGCCGAGGAGGAGGGCGAGAGCAGGAGCAGGAGTGGAGAAGGAGGAGGAGCAGGAGAAGGAGGAGGACGAGGACGGGGCAGCTGCAACGCGGCCGTTGGGCGCGAGCAGAGGAAGTTGCGAGCTGGCGGCGGCGGAGGAGGCGGAGCCTGGGGCTCTGACGCCCACGTTGGGCCAGAGGCGACCCACAGCCCCCCGTGTGCACCCACCCCGTAGGCCTGTGGAGGACGGTCCACGGAGAGGAAGCGCGCTGCCGAAGAATTTCCAGATGTCTAAAATCTGTTCCAACATTGTTTTACATACGTCGTTTTCTGTTTGTATATATGTATATACATGTCAACAGAAAAAACACAAACTATATAGATACACAGTTACAAAAAAAAAAAAACACAAAACACGCGTGTTTGACACATGTTTAGAACATGCTCTACACATTCTAAGCACATCTTTAGCCCAAGGATCGGCTTGATGGCGTGCCCCTCGTCCTGGCAGGCCACAGCCGTGGGCCACGGCTGGCGCGCCCCCTCCCCCCTTGTTTTGGCGGCGGAGGGGCGGCGGCGGGCTCGGGGGCCGCGCCCTTCTCCCGCCCGGGGTGCTCTCGGGCGGGCGGCGCTCGCCGGCAGCAGGAGGCGCCCCGCCCCTCGGAGGCCTGCTCCGTCGAGGCTTCGCAGGACAGCGCCCCTGGGCCGCGGGCATCCTCCTATTTTCGTCGCGGCTCGTGGTTTTCGTCGAGGTTCGTGGCCCTCGGCCCCGTCGTGGCGGGCGCGCTCGCCGGCAGCAGGAGGCGCCCGCCCTTCGGAGGCCTGCTCCGTCGAGGCTTCCCAGGACAGCGCCCCTGGGCCGCGGGCACCCTTCTATTTTCGTCGCGGCTCGTGGTTTTCGTCGTGGGTCGTCCCCCTCTGCCCCGTCGCGGTGGGCGCGCTCGCCGCAAGCAGGAGGTCGACCGGACGTAAGAGTGGCCTTTCGCCGGAGTGACCTTTGGTGCGGGCACAGATGGGCCTCCAGATGGCTGAAAACGAAGCAGGGCCTCCAGATGGGCCTCCAGATGGGCCTCCAGAGGGGCAGCGGCTTGCGCGCCCAGGTTAAGTCCCCCCGCGGCTCCCAAAAAGCCGCGCACCAAAGGTCACTCTTACCCAGGGTCACTCCTGCGTGTAGCCGAGGAGGCGACGCGGGCTCGGGAGGAGCAGGACGATCTCAGCGGAGCGCTGAGGACCTGGCATCGCTTGGGCGTGCGCATGTTTTTTTTTTTACCTAACAGCGAAGACTGATAGGTTTCTAGTGGGGTCAAAAGAGAGCATCATGACTCTTCAGGGGGGTCGGGGCAGGACCCAGGGCGGGACCCGGCGCGGCTGCCGTCGAAGCCCAAATCGCTTTGGACATCCTCGCAAAATCGCTCTTGGCGCTGCTAGAACTCCATTCCCGGCGTACATTTTGGATGCCCGGAGCCAACTGTAGGCCACTTCGTGCTCTTCGACTTCCCAGAACTCCATTCCCGGCGCCACATTTTGGATGCCCGGAGCCAACTGTAGGCCACTTCGTGGTCTTCGAGTTCCCAGAACTCCATTCCCGGCCACATTTTGGATGCCCGGAGCCAACTGTAGGCCACTTCGTGCTCTTCGAGTTCCCAGAACTCGATTCCCGGGCCACATTTTGGATGCCCGGAGCCAACTGTAGGCCACTTCGTGCTCTTCAAGTTCCCAGAACTCCATTCCTGGGCATGATTTTGAATGCCCGGAGCCAACTGTAGGCCACCTCGTGTTCTTCTAGTTCCCAGAACTCCATTCCTGGGCCACATTTTGAATGCTGAGGCAGGCTGATGCTGCGGCCGAGGCAGGCTGAGGCTGAGGCAGGCTGAGGCTGAGGCCGAGGCTGAAGGCAGACTGAGGCTGAGGCTGAAGCAGACTGAGGCTGAGGCTGAGGCAGGCTGAGGCTGAGGCTGAGGCAGGCTGATGCTGAGGCAGGCTGAGGCTGAGGCTGGCTGAGGCTGAGGCTGAGGCAGGCTGAGGCTGAGGCTGAGGCTGAGGCTGAGGCTGAGGCCAGGCTGAGGCTGAGGCAGGCTGAGGCTGAGGCCGAGGCTGAAGGCTGAGGCTGAGGCTGAGCAGGCTGAGGCTGAGGCTGAGGCAGGCTGAGGCTGAGGCAGGCTGAGGCTGAGGCTGAGGCAGGCTGAGGCTGAGGCTGTGACTGCGACTGCCGTTGCCACTGCGACTGTCATCGCGAATGCGACTACGACTGCGAGAACAGCAGAATTCTACAACTGGATTCTCATCTGAATCTGAAGGGGAGTGCTTCCAGATATGCTCCTACACATCGCTGTTAGGTTGCTTTGCCGGGATATTTTTTTCCTCGGCGAGCACCTTCGGGGGGCATCCTCGACCACCGGGCCACCAAAAAGACACGCGCGGAACCCAACCATGCACGGGGAGTGGACGTCCAAGCGACGGCGGGAGGAGGGCAACGGCTTTCCAGTGCGTGCAAATACGCGTTTCTTCACACAGGACTTCACGTGTTGGTCTTTCCTACGCCTTTGCGATCGGAGCGCCTTCCGTCGTGCAACATGGTGCGCCCGCTGCAGCGCTGGCTACATGTCAGGATCGGTGCCTTGTTCCCGTCGTTCAAGACTGCGCTCTCGCTCCAGGCGGGCCATATTTCTTTATCCGATTCGTTCCTCGTCGTTGCCGTTTCCACCCTTTCCCCTCAAGCGACCTCCGCTGCTCCTCCTGCTCTTCCTCCCTACTCCTCCCTCCTTCTCCTGCTCCCCCCCGATGTACAAAGCACCCCACCCTCCCGATTGCACAGCAAACGGTGGGTCAAACCCTGGAACTGCCGCTTGGGCACCATGGCCCTCCAGGACGCCCTCCAGCCCGCGGACAGAATACAGTCGGGGCGCTGAAGAAAGGAACCCTTTTCATTGGGGAGGGGCTCCGTGTTCCTTAATTGTTTCGCAGCTTGCCTTAGGTTTTCCTCAGGTTTTCGATATGAAATCGAAGTTTAACTTATGGAAAATAGGGGCCTCGTTCCTTATTTAGGGCTCCTTAAGTCAACGCCCCGACTGTAGGACTTAAGCGCGACGGGGTGGGATGGGCGAGAGGGGCAAGATGTCCGGCGTGGTGCGAGCGCACACAGCTTGTCCTTTTCCCCCTCCTCCCTCCAGGGTCCATTTCGGTCCGGTCGATCCGATTCAGTGCCGATTTCGGCCGGCGCGACGCGATTTGATCCCGGCATTCCGACGGTCCGACGCGGCCCGATGCCTGCACGGCGCTGTGGTGCACCCTGGCGCGGCCGATCCGATTCGGTCCCGACCCCGTGCCGACGAGGCCCGATCCGAGGCGCACTCCGATCCGATCCAATCTCCCGATTCGATGTCGCCTGGTCCTCCCCCCCCGCGATCCACTCACTGCTCGCCACCCTCTCCTCTTCCTGAGGAGGAGAGGGAGGGCGACCAGCAGCAGCGGAGGATGCCTTTTCCTCCTCCTCCTCATCGATCCTCCTCCTCCTCTTCCTCCTCCTCCTCATCGATCCTCCTCCTCCTCTTCCTCCTCTTCCTCCTTCTCCTCCTCCTCCTCCTCCTCTTCCTCCTCCTCCTCCTCCTCCTCCTCCTCCTCCTCCTCCTCCTCCTCCAGGCCTCCAGGCCTCCAGGCCTCCAGGCCTCCAGGTCAAGGCTCTAGCCGCTGGGCGTGAGCCCCAAACCGGGCGGCCCCTCCCTCTCCTGCCTGTCGCCCCTCCGCGCGCTGCCGCCGGCCGTGCTGCACCCCCGAGCCCCGAGCGTGCTCGGTCGAGCGTCTGCTGCCCTCCGCCTTGCGGAGGCGGCCCGTGTGGGGGTGGAGGTCGGGTTGGACAGGGGGGTGGAGTCGGGATCGGACTAAGAGCCCCTGTCTTTCGCTGCGGTTCACCACCCACCAAACCACCCCAACCCAACCCGAAGGCTCAGATTTACCCTCGATTTCCAGTGGGGGGGGGGGTCGGGAAACATCGAAAAAACACGTGTGGAACCCTTACCCCCCCCAACCCGAAATTCGGGTCTTCGGGTTGGGTTGGGGTGGTCTGGTAGGTAGTCAGCGGTGCGATCGCATCGCGCCCAGCTCTGCTGTCCCCATGGGGCCCTCCCCCACCGGTGGGTGTTTGGTCCCTGGCTGACGCCTTCCGCCCCCGTCGTCGGGATGGGCCTGGTGGCTGGTCGCACCCTGTTGGTGCCTCGTCCTTGGCCCAGCTGGGCCTCGTCGGTGCTCTGTGCACATCGATTCGGCCCCCTCCCGTTCCTATGGGTTCGGTTGGGGCTCCCGTTCTGGACACGGTCCTCCTCCTCCTCTCCTCCCGCGGGAACGGGAGGGCGGCCGTGTATTCTTTCACGGGAATGGGTTCGGTTCCCTTGCATCCTGGTCAGTGTGGTTTGAACCTTGGCCCACTGCCTTGACGTCAGCTTCAGCAACAATCGGGCATTTTGGGAGGGGGGGCCGTGTGGCACGCGAGTTCCATTGGACTTCGCGCCAACTCACAGGCGGGGATCCTCGGGTTCGAGATGGGCTATCTAGCCCGGTGCCAGCGCGGACCCCGTATGCACGTGCCCGTCGGCTGTTACCCCAAGCTGGCCCCGCTGCTCCGTGAGCATACGGCTCAAAACCGTAAGTAGGTGAACCATGCCAGCGCAGACCCCGCAGTGTCCAGTGAACCATGGCTGCAGGGAGCCGTCTGCGGGGCAGCGAGTCACTAGGCGATTCGCCCCCATTATCATGCCCAGTGGTACCTCCTCGTGTTGGCGGCATGACGCATGACCGCATGAGACGTAAGCAGTGGTCCTACACAGTGGTCTCCTCCTACTCTTCTTCCTCCCCCTCCTCCGTCTCCCCCCCAGTTCACAGCTCCGACGAGGCCTGGTTCGACGCACGTTCCGATCCGGTCCAATTTCCCGATTCGATGCTGACTGACCCCCCCGCGATCCGCTCACTGCTCGACACCCTCTGCTCCTGATGAGGAGAGGGAGGGCGAACAGCAGCAGCGGAGGAGGAGGAGGGCGAGGACTCCGCCTCCTCCTTCTCCTCCTCCTCCTTCTTCTCCTCCTCCTCCTCCTTCTCCTTCTCCTCCTCCTCCTCCTCCCCCTCCTCCCCCTCCTCCTCCTCCTCCTCCTCCTCCTCCTCCTCCTCCTCCTCCTCCTCCTCCTCCTCCCCCTCCTCCTCCCCCTCCTCCTCCTCCTCCTTCTCCTCCTCCCCCTTCTTTTCCTACTCCTCCTCCTCCTCCTCCTCGATCCTTCTCCTCTCCCTCCTCTTCCTCCCGTCCCCCCCGCCTCGCAGGACCTGGCGCGGTCCCAGCGCGAAGGGAGGCCGCGCCACGGCACGGCCTTCACGTGGGTCCGGGAGCCCGCGCTCCGGTTCGTGCCTGGCCCCCGGGCGTTCCCGCAGGAGTTGAGGAGGAGCTGCAACTGGGGAGGAGGAGGAAGAGGAGGAGGAGGAGGGGGGGACCGCTGTCGCCGCCGCCGCTCTCCTCCCTTTCTTTCCTGGTCTGATTTCCTCTTTCCTTCCTGTCTCTTCTCCCTGTCTTGTCCGCTGTCAGCGTTTACCGTCTACCTTTTAACAATATTTCCTTCCAACCGGCGACTCCTGGAGCTAACGTTCCAGGAGTCGCCTGGCTTTAGTTTGATACCCCCCCAGTGCCGACCGTCCCTGGGGGAGGAGGGCGGCGTACGTGTGACCTTCTCGCTGTCAATCCACAGTCCACAAGAGGAGGAGGAGGAGGAGGAGGAGGAGGAGGAGGAGGAGGAGGAGGAGGAGGAGGAGGAGGAGGAGGGGAAGGGCTGGGCAGATGCAAGAGTTTCGCGACTGGGGGGATCCCCCAGTCTCCCCGATCTGGGCTTGTGCCCAAGTGATGTGTTGCACACTGCATGACTTATCAGTGTGTGTCTCTATCGTTAATTTGTTGTAGAGAGAAGGAGGGACGGAGGGAGGGAGCCAGAGAGGAGGAGGAGGAGGAGGAGGAGGAGGTCCGTAGCCATTTTGGCTCAAGGTACAAGTTGGGCTGATGCGCTCGCGCAAGCCTTCGGCTACGTGCGGAGGAGGAGGAGGAGGAGGAGGAGGAGGAGGAGGAGGAGGAGGAGGAGGAGGAGGAGGAGGAGGAGGAGGAGGAGGAAGGGCTGGGCAGATGCAAGAGTTTCGCGACTGGGGGGATCCCCCAGTCTCCCCGATCTGGGCTTGTGCCCAAGTGATGTGTTGCACACTGCATGACTTATCCGTGTGTGTCTCTATCGTTAATTTGTTGTAGAGAGAAGGAGGGAGGGAGGGGGAGCCAGAGGAGGAGGAGGAGGAGGAGGAGGAGGAGGAGGAGGAGGAGGAGGAGGAGGGGAGGAGGAGGAGGAGGAGGAGGTGGAGGAGAGGAGGAGGAGTGAGGAGGAGGAGGAGGAGGAGGAGGAGGAGGAGGAGGAGGAGGAGGAGGAGGAGGAGGAGGAGGAGGAGGAGGAGGGGGGAGGAGGGGAGGGGAGGGGGAGGGGGAGGAGGAGGGGAAGGGCTGGGCAGATGCAAGAGTTTCGCGACTGGGGGGATCCCCCAGTCTCCCCGATCTGGGCTTGTGCCCAAGTGGTGTGTTGCACACTGCATGACTTATCCGTGTGTGTCTCTATTATTCTTTGTTGTAGAGAGAAGGAGGGAGGGAGGGAGGGAGCCAGAGAGGAGGAGGAGGAGGAGGAGGAGGAGGAGGAGGAGGAGGAGGAGGAGGAGGAGGAGGGAGGAGGAGGAGGAGGAGGAGGGGGAGGAGGAATAGGAGGAGGAGGAGGAGGAGGAGGAGGAGGAGGAGGAGGAGGAGGAGGAGGAGGAAAACGCAGGCTTGGTCTCGGGGGGCAGGCTGCCCTCCGGCGCTGGAGGAGCAGTGGCGCGCGCGCGGCCTGACCCTCGCGGGGGTCCCCCTGGGAGGGACGCTGCCCCCCGGAGGGCTGCCGGACGAGAGCGACGGGCGCAAGGTGGACCTTGGCGGGGAGGACTATGCGGCGGCACGCTGCGCGGAGACGGCAGGGCGGGCAGCCGAGCTGCTCGCCAAGCTCGCGGCCCTCCCCGCGACGGCCTCGCCGCACCTGCCGGCCGCCCAGACCGCCGCGCTGCTGCTCCGGCACACTGGGGCCAGCAAGCTGCATGACGCACCTCCTCCACACGAACGCGCCGGCGACCTCGGAGGCCGCCGCCGGGGCCTACGACGACGCCCTGCTGGCTGCCTACGCGGAGCTCGCGCGCCTGGACCCGCTAACAGAGCCGCAGAGAGCCCAGTGCCAGCTGCCGCTACGCGGCCTCCGCAGCCAGAAGCAGCTCGCGACTGCTGCCTGGGCGGGCTCCTGGGCGCAAAACCTCGGCAGGGTGAGAAAGCGCACGGGGCTAGCCTGCCTGGGTGACCTTGACACCTGCCCCCTGCCTTTTGGCCTGGCCTGCCGCGGCGCGCTGGCTGGGCTCGCGCAGCTGGCGCCGCCGCCGCCCCGCCCGGGCGCGGAGCCGGCCGAGCTGCCCACCTGGAGGACGCTGGCGGAGACGCCGAAGCCGAAATTCCAGAAAACCTGAATGACAGCAAGAGTCGACAAGAAAAACTGCGACTCCCTGCTGCAGGTCCTGGAGCCAGAGACAAAGGCGAACTTCCGCTCCTGCAGCGGGCCGCGCGCTGGGGCGCTGGCAGAGCGCCTCGCCGGGCCTGGAGGCCCAGCGGCTTGACGGCGCCGACAGTACGGCGCGGGTGCTGCTCGGCCAGGCTGCGGCCCCCCCGGGGCGACCTGCTGCAACGCTGCGCGGACTGGGGAACGCGCTGGGCAGCGCCGTGGCGAGTCCCTGGGAGACTAGGCCCGCCGCGCCTGGCGCTGCGCCGGCGGGGGCGGCCTCAAGGCGCGCAGCGGCGACCTGGAGCACGCATGGGGCCGCATCCACGCGGAGTGCGGCTTCCGCGTGGAGAACTAGGTGCGCGTCCCCTCGTGGAACCGCTGGCGCTGGCGCTGCGCGGGCTGCGACGCGGGCGGGCGGGCGCAGGACAGGCCAGCGGGACCCTGCGGCAGCTGCGGAGCCGCGCTGCGCACGGAGAGGGAGGAAGCCATCCTCGACCTCGAAGTGCAGCGGGCGGGCCGCCCTCGCCTGTACTTCGACGTCACGGTGCGCCACTGCGTGCCTGGTGACGTCGCAGCTCTGGCAGCCGCGGCCTGGCGAGACGGCGCGGTCAACGCCGAGGCGGAGGCCGACAAGCGGCGGCGCTACTCCGCCAGCCGCGCCCCGTGGGGCACGGTGCCGCTGGCGCTCGAGATGGGCAGCCGGCGCGGGCAGGCTGCCCTGCGGCACCTCCGCGAGCTCGCGTGGGGCGAGGCGGCCCTGCTCGGCGAGGCGGCCGCCCCTGCAGTCGCCGGCGCCCTGGTGGCCCTGTGGGGCCGTGAGCTCAGCGTGGCCCTTCACTGGGCCACCGCCCGCCAGCTCAGGACGGCGCCGATCGAGCGCGAACCGCGCCAGCGCTGGCCAGGCGGCTGAGCTGCGGGCGGCCGCGGCGGCCTAGCTGCGCGAGCGCTGGACTGGCCGCCGGCCGCCGGCCGTTGCTCGCGGTCGCTTACCAGGTCTCTCGCTCTCGGCGAAGCACAGAGGGAGCGGCGAGCGGGCGGGCGTCGCAGACCGCGCTTCGGGGCTTGCAGTAGGAGGAGGAGGAGGAGGAGGAGGAGGAGGAGGAGGAGGAGGAGGAGGAGGAGGAGGAGGAGGAGGAGGAGCAGTGTGAACCCAAGGTTCAGCAACGGTGTTGGAGTACACCCTCTCTCCGATCTCCCTCTTCATAGGCTCCCAGAAAGATATCATTTCCGTTGAGGGAAGTGCCCTTGTTGGGGGGTAGCCGTGTGAAAATCTGAAGCCTGCTAAAACACCGTTCTCAGGAATTCAACGACACGAGTCAACCTGACTGTTTCGTCTTGACGACCCTGAATCGCATGGGGAGTGGGTCGCGGTCTCAGAGGAAGCAGCGTTCGCGGTCACGTGGAGCAGCCGTCGCAGCCCCGCGGCAGAGCGCCAGGATGCGCTACTTCTCGGCAGCGCATGAGATCGGCGTTCGGTCGGCGTCGCGTGCAGGATCCTGTGGTTGAGTGGTGGGGAGTTGCTACAACTCCCCTTAGCAGAGGCCTGGCGCTGACCAAATCAAGCAACAATCCACAATATTCTCATCGACGCTTGCAACTGTGCGCGAACATGGGCAGGATAATCCCCTGCGGAGAAGATGCTGATTACTTTGGCCAGAAGGCCGTGGCCACCACGATAAAGGAATGGAGAGGGCTCGCGGTTGGCGTCACGACATGTATTTGCACTCGCTGCAGGTCTTTGTGGACCGCGCCTGGCATTTATCGGGCCGCGCACGGGCGAGGGCGCTAGCCAGGTCTCGCCAGGCGTTCGTGGCTTGGGCCAAGCGCGCGTGGAAAGAGAAACCAGGAGCGGTCCACAGACGCGCGCGTAACCCACCTCCTGAGGCACCCCCTTCTCGAGATAGCTGCCGGTGGCACCCCTGCGTCGGATTCCACTGTTGCTTCGAGCCAGGAAGGATTACTGGATGAAGGTTCGGCGAGGGCCGATGAACGCGCGCGCCCGCGTGCTGAGGGCGATGGAGGAGCTGGCTAGAGACGCCCGGGGCGACCCCCTGGAGCCGTTGACCGAGGGCCAGGTCTTGACGCTATTTAAAAGGCAGGCTCCACGCAAAGCCAACGGCGTGGATGCCCCGGGCCCCGCTGGCCTCCAGGGGATGCCTGAGACAGATGACACGGAGCTGACGAGCCTACTCAACCAAGCGGAACACTCGCTCACATGGCCGACGGCGCTCCCGGCTACGGCGCGGGCCGTGATTCCCAGGCCTGCCGGCGGAAGCAGGGCGCATGGCATGCCCCCGCACATTTGCAAGACTTGGAGCCGAACAAGAGGCTCTAGTATCAGGTAATGGTCAGAGGCGCTCTCGGTGCTTCGGGGCACGGCCATCAGAGGCAGCGGCGCCCTCGGGACAGCTTCGGTCAGGAGTCTCGTGGGCGAGGTTCGAGTCAATAGCCAGATTGCCGGGCATTGCCGAGCTCTACGACTCGATTTCGTTCGCCTGGCCGCCCCAGTCTGCGCGGGAGCTCAAGTTTCCACTCGATGACGCGCTGCTCGAAGTGACGTTGTTCACGTCAGCTCGCATCGCGAAGGATGGCCCCGTCATCAGCGAGCCCTTGTGCCCGGGCCCCTCCATGGTGATCTATGGTGGCTACGGCGTTTATGGGGGTGGACGCATCGGCAAAGCTACGACGGGCTCTATTGCGCCGACGCGTCGCGCTCAAGCGCGATCTTGCCTTTCGTCAGCTGTTTCTACCGGCGCTAGAGGGGTGCAACGGGCCCATCGAGGACAAGCGGAAATGGCCCCGTAATTGCG